CTCTATGTAAGACGACCAATTTTTCTAGATGAATACCTTCATTTATTTTTTCCTATTTAATTGTGATATTTTTTTTATTTTTTTTTTTTTTTTGACTTTCTGAATTACTTGTTGATATATTTTTAATTCAAAACCAGTCGTATACACGTATGTGTATATACACGTACATGTATATACATATATATTTGTTAAAAATAATGAAGATACCAGTTACAGAAAATTTCGTTACCAGTTTTGTTATCAGTAAAATATATTATTTTTTATCTAGTAAATATATTATAATGTACCATCAACCCGTAAACATGTATTATAACTATTGTAAAATCAAAAATTACGGACACCATAATATTATTTGCGATTATCAGAGCGTTTCGCTTACGCATCGTTTGTCATAATAATATACTAGCAAACAGTGGCGTATTTGGCATAATATTTATGGGGTGAAATATGAACATTGAATTTTAAAATATTAACGTCAAAACGTTCATTGTACTAACGTCATAAAATATTTTAATCAATACGACATTCATCAACAAAATCAACTATATGCTATAAATTATAATAAAAATAAACTATTAGCAGAGAATATTGATTATGAACTATAACTAATGATTATATATTTTTTTTTATTATTTATAATCTTAACACAGAACGTAGTGTTGGTGTTAGAAACGGTTTCTCTTGTTATTACAAAATAGGGTAACATATTTGGAACACAATATACACGAGTAATTATAATAATGGAATTTAACTTATAAACGCAGCTTCCGTAAAACGGTATAAAAAAAAAAAATTTTAAGGGGTGTGCAAATTCCACTATTGTTCTCTTTCAAAGGTTCCCCCTCAAAATATCCCCACTCATATTATCCCTTAATTCATAACGAAATACATAAAAATTACACGCAATACCTTTTAAATAGTTAATTTCAGTATCATGTTCATAGTTTAGAACCATCGATATGGAAACTTATCAAGTGTCTCCAATTACAGCAAGATAAATAAAATATACAATTATATGAACAATTATTATTTTTTTAAATTTTTATTTGAGTAATATTATAACAATTATGTTACATTACGATATTACGATTATTTAGGCCATCAAGAAGCAAAAATTGAAAAATACATTTCTGGTAAGCTACCTGTTAAGAAGAAGAAAATTTACGAGAAGTCGGACAGACAATTAAAAGAATTGGTTTTTAACTATGAACATGCTACTGTACTAAAATATTTGAAAGACATCGCATGTAATTTTTCATTTAAAAAAAAAAAAATGTTTTTTATGTATATTTAATTTAAAAATAATGTTAATTTTAATATAGTACGACAAGTCGAAATATACATTGCCAAAAACAATAAAAGTGTAATTAAAATTTATAAAATTTTTTTTAAAAAATAAAAAAATATAAATATGAATTAAGGGATAATATTACTGGGGATATTTTGTTTATAGGATATTTTTAATTGGGATATTTGTAACGGGGATATTTTCAACGTAGGATATTTGTAACGAGGATAAATTTAACGGGGGATATTTTGAATGAGGGATATTTTGATGCACGGGTTATTTTGAGGGTGCACACCATTCTAAACGCCATTGTCGGCCAGTATGTTTATTTTATAATTTTCATCGCTTTATTTCGAAGATAATATAATATTGATTCCAATTATGGTGTAAACTGGGAAAGACAATTCGAAAAAATAATATTTTGTGATAAATATACACGTAATAATCACTTCAAAAGTATAAAAGTTTTAAATAGATACCTATTCAAAATATGCATATTGTACAATTCTAAGTATAAATATGTATTCTTGATTATTTATAAACTAAGTAGTAATAACTTATAAGTTATGCTAAAACTGCATTTTGGAACATAAAAGAACCTTTAAAATTTAAAATGTCTGGTTAGGTTATAGTACTTAATTTATTAGTATAATGGTTTCGGTTTTGATATCGATTCTTACTATTTAAAAAGTTCCGGTTCCAGAATCAGTTTCTTCAGTTCGGTCCCTGTCATTGGTTTAAATAATTCTAATTTAATAAATATCAAGCTATTCAAAAAAGGAAAAATATATTTTAAACACAAATAAAAGTTGTTTTCGGATTTCTGAAGAAAGTTGTTATTTTTGTTATTTTTATATTAAATATAATATAACACGTATCTTAATTTCTAAGTATACTAAATGCGTTGTATTACGTTATTATTACTATTAAATTAATATTAATTTCATATTTTCTATTATATTCTCATACTTTATATCAAATATTGAAAAATCACGACATTATAAAGGAAATAAAATTACATAAATTAAATCTAAAATATTATTTTAGACGCAATATCATTAACTGTAATCGGAAATTTCTCATGAACTCGCATTAACTATGTTTTGTTATACTGCATGACAGAAGTTAAATAGCTTATTTAAACTCTTTAATTAAGAAAAAATGACTTTATAACAAACTAGAAAAAATTCTTCATTTACTTCCAAATTAAATCAATTAAGATAATTATTGTTTTAAAGTTTGTTTTATTCGAAATATAAAAATGTGATTAAAATTTTTTTACCCGATTTATAAAATGAACTAATTTACTTTTTTAATTATAATTATTTACACTGAACAATTTAATTACAAATTAATTTTTGGTTTAAAAAAAAATAATAACACGTGTATACATTGTTTTTCATTCCACCAGTTTAATTATTAAAAATAATATATTAAAAAGTAAATGTTTACACAGCTTACTTTTAAAAATAATTCTTTAATTTTTTTATTTAATATGTTGATTAAAATGTATAAATCTTATAAATAAGAACAAACCATGAGTTCAATGTTTTGAAGTAATTATTTTGGTAAATAGTATGTGCGATAGTATTTCATGGAGTTACTAACTTATTTTCAACTGTAAAAAATTAATGGGTCGAATAAACGACGCAGACATGACTCTACTGAGTTAAAAATAAATGAGGTAAACTTTTATCCTTAACTTTGCTTCGTAATTATTTAATTTATCTTAATTTAACTGGATAGGAGTAAAGAGTAGTCATCGACCTTTCTATAGCCTATACAGATACTTTCACATAGACATCTGTTATTGACGCGGAGGCGTAACGTAAATACAAAATCGTTAAAGTGGTCATAATTTAGTGGAGTTACTATTGGGATCAGTCGGATAAACAGTAAAAAAGTCTGAAAATCTACAATACTGTAATATCGTTTCACCTCACTGGACCGTGTTTTGACCCTGAAATATATTTATTAATTACCATAGCAACCTACTTTGAGTTCTCTTTCCATTGTATGAATAAAAATATTATAAAAATAAATAAAACGTGAATCGGGTTCTTGTATTTTTACAGCACAAACCTTAAAACTTTTAAACTTTCAAACCTTTAAACCTACTGTAGCTCGGATAGTGCTTAAAAATACGTCTATCGAGACAAGAGAAGTATAATCGAATTTTTAATCGCTGAATTTGATAATTCATTGAAAAAAAATAGTTTAATGGGAAGTTTTATTGGAAATAAATTTTTTCACTTCACGACTTTTAAACGAAAATTGTTATAGAGGATTTCGTAGAGTAAAGCGGATCATACACTTTCAGTTTTAATAATAACCGATGAATTAACCAAAAACGTTTACCCGTTCAAGTAAAACGGATTGGTCGAAACTTATAAAATATAATTCGAATGAACAAAAAAAATTATATTGATTTTTGACCAGTTTAGATTTTTAATTATACCCGAATTGATAACCGAATTGTGTTTGTATACCCATACAAAAACACGTATGGGTATAACAGTATTTCAAGAATGACAATCTAAGTGTATTGTAGTTTGATAAAAATTTTACTGGTACACAAACGTACGGTTAAAATTGTCGATTATGTATGGCCTACTTAAAACGTACACCTGTGAGTCGAAAGAAACCGAAAAACAATAATAATAACCATATAGTTGAATAATGAACGTGTTAAATTTTTATTTTGTATACAATAGACAATGTAATATAATCTTTTAAAGAGTACCGATATATATAAAATAATAATAATTATAATAAATAAATAAACAATAATCGTTATTAATATAATCGACTTGAAAAAAAAATAATCAAATAAATATAAACTTGTTTAAAAATCAATCAATATCTTGATATCTGTTCCCAGATTTTTAATTATTTTTTCAAAAATATTATACGACTTTAATATCATCAACCACCAGCAATCCAAACTATGTTTATCGGATGTCCTTCTTAGTTTCACACGAACGTTTTACGATTAGGGGTTACAAACGACCGTATTTCCTAAGAGTAAAATTATTTATCCATCGTGAAAATTACGACGAGCCGTGAGTCGTACATTGTAAATAGTTATGATACGATTTAATTTTTTCGATCCGCTTAAATCCGTATGGTATTTATATTTTTTTAAAACTTGTTCGTAAATATATGCAAATGGGCACTAAAAAAATGTGCGAACAATCACGCTTTCCCGCGACGTCTACGAAACGTGCATAAATACGCGCGTTCGAATTTCAGATTCACGGCGTCGAGGAATACATTTGTTTCACGAGAGAGAACATAAATTAAACGCTAATAAGTTTGCCCTGATAACCTGTTAATAATAACTACGATAAACGTTGACAAGTCCCTGTTTCCGACCAGAGATGGAACTAGGAATTTTTACGCCCGGGGAAAACGTTAAAATTACGCCCTACCATTATCCAATAATAAAATACTATTCTCGAGAATTTTCTTCTAGCAATTAACAGACAATCGTATCTATTGAGTTTTAACCAAATGCCAGCATTTGAAAAAGTTAAAAATATCAAATTAATCGTTAATGATCACAATGAATACACCGTCTGAAATGTTACGCCCGGGGACGAATCCCCGTCTTCCATCCCTTAGTCACGCCCATGCTCCCGAGAACCCGTTTACAATAACTACGATGTATGTGTTAATGTCTAACCATTGACCAGTCGGTTATCGCGCGCAGGTTACCGTCAGTCGGTCACGTCGGCGGTGGCGGACAAGAGCGTCATGACGTCGTCCATGTCACAGCAAGCAGCTGCCGATCTGCAACAGCAGCAGCCAGTGACGGCGGCCGTCGCGCAACAGCACCCAGCGCCGCCCGTGGTTCGCGTCACGTTGGCATCCTTGGAGGAGTGCAGTGTGCTGCTGCACAACGGTCTGGACTTTTATGGGGCCACGTTCTTCCCCGTGGAGGCCGCTTCGCCCGCCGCCATCAAAAAGAAACCGATTGCGCCCAACAGGTATGTACCCGTACCACGGCGCGCACGAACGCGCACAATATTTTCAACGTTCATTCGTGACAAGATTATTGCTTTTCGGTTGTAACAATTGGCGTAGTTACGGGGAGAGGGTATGGGCTTTCCATTCCCCCAGATTTTTCTTTAATGACATTTAGTTATTATTTATTAAATATTTACACACTGTAATAAAACTATATTTTCATTTTACTTTAATTAGATATATACTAAAAATTGAGTAACAAAATATTTTTTATAAAATACGGGACATAGTAATAATACCATTTTAAATGTAATATATTATATAGGACTTCGTATTAAGATATACTGAGAATATTATGAATTGACTCTAAACACCCCCCCCTCAGAAAAAAATTGTATCTACGCTACTGGTTGTAACACTATACGGATGCGTCTTCTGACGGTTCTTATGGGAGGAGGGAATAGTTTTGAAAACTATAATTTTTTTTTCCACTTTGAAAACACGTTTTTACCATCGGAGTTCATACAAATAATAATAATTGGTTATCTCAAAGGCTGTGAAATTAATACAATAAAAAAATTTAAAAATGTCAAACAAATGCAAAAATTATGAGAACTTTTAAAGTTTTTAAGTAACTTTATTATATTGTATGAAATAATATATTTTGATCAAGCATTGAAATTTACTATTTATCTCACTATTTACTTTTTATCTAGTATAGAAACTAAACGAAATCACTGTGTGGGAAACAGGGTTAGGTTAAGTTTTCACAAACAAAAATTTGCCTCAAGTTAAATCGTTTCAGCATAAAAAAAAAAAATAATAATAAAAATTTGTATTTATAATTTTTAATATATTCACTAAGTGTCTAAAAACTCAAAATTTCTTAATATTCAAAAAAAAAAAAAATTAAATATATATGTATACAATATACGAATACATTATTCATTCAAATAATAATGTAATTATGAAAATTATAATATAATACGTATTATGTAGAACTTGTTCAGGGTTTCAACAAGAAAAAATATTACGCAACAGTTTTAAAGTAATTTCACTTACAATAAGAATGAATATAAATATGTAAATCATATTTGTTTTAATATTGTATTCTCTCCATAATCGTCTGATTACCTAAATATTTACAATAACATTTTGTGTTGACATATCCCTAATTTTTATCATGCAATTTTCTTGAAAATAATTCTTTCGTTGCAAACGGCACTCCTTCAAAAAAAAAATTATCAAATAACTCATTGTAGAAAATAGCATGATATTTAAAATTACTATAATAAATTTTAAGAATTTTTCCTAATGCAAAACCATTAAATTTCAAATACAATTTAGTTTAAAAATTTAATTATCAAATGAACGTAGTAATTTAGAACAGGTGAACCGAACCCTGCTCGCAATACATTTTAAATCGGCCCTTACTTCAATTTTAAAACTAAGAATTCATTGTATATAATATTATGAAAAACATTTATTTTAAGAATATAAGACTACAAAACATTAAAAATGAAATAAGCTTTAGTTGTACTTATATAAAAGTATTATCTTTATTGACACCGATAGCAATAAAACTAGAAGTATGTATAATATCCAACAAATTTTATAATTTGTGAAATGAAACAAAGTCGTTTATGGAGCCAAAAGGAAAACCTATTATATAGTTTGAATATGAAAACTGGCTTATAGATTTAGCGATATTAAGTGATACAACAATTTATTTAGACGAGAAACGTCACTCTTCAAGGTAAAAACCAACTATTATTAATAATATGTTAGTATATTATTAGTAATATGTTTAAATAATAACTCTTTGAATTGAAACTTAAATTATAGTATACCAAAGTCATGTTAAGTCAAATAGTTGTATACATTTCCCTGCATTGGCCATAAATAATCCTAAGAATATACATTTATTTAATTTTAAATTGGAACATTGGAAATTTCTGAATATTTTCACAAATTTAATCTATCCGGATATTGATTCATTACTATCACAAAATAAGTAATTATAAATTTTACATAAGTTTTATTTTTTTTCCAAAATTGTTTTATTTTATTTATAAATAAATAAATATTTTTCCTTGCAATCATAAATAAAATGTAATAGCTAGCAAAAATATTTCTACTCATTATTCGCCAGGTTTAAAGTATAAACATAATGGATTATTGTGTTATAATTTAATCATTCAATTTTAATGTATTTATATACAAATTAATATGGCCCACAAAGAATTATACTCACATAATGTGGTCTAACATAAAAGGTTGGACACCCCTAATTTAGATCATATAATATAATAGAGAAATGCCAAAGAACGCCCTTAAAAACATCGCATCTTCGTAAAAATAATATCAACATCATCGCGTGTACTATTACAGTACATATTATAAAATATTTACATATATCTCAAATGATTATGTTACATTCCTAACGTTTTTACATTATGTAATATTTCCATTTAATAACTGAAAAAGTTTCAATTTAAAATTGCCACTTTTCATTTTTATAGCAATCTCGTATTTTATGAATATATATTTTTACACAATGATTTCAATATAAGTTTACCACGTTTCAATTTATAATACGAAAACGAATGTTGAGTAATATTTAAATTCTCTCGTATTTCAGTAAATGGCTTATTTAACAACAATATTTTAAAATATGTCCAATTCAGTAGGTACGGATTCGTTTTAAAAAACGGTGGTAGCGTTTCATTCGTAATACAAATCGTAATCTGACACAAGTCAAAATGTACGAGCTTAATGACGTCGTACATTACGTTCGTCAATCCGGCTCCACTTAAATATAGCACACTTTATCCAAATATCATTGACAAGCATGCTAACACACTTCTCTTATCAAGTTACAGGAATTAGTGCTGACATTACGGTAAGAGACACTGCAAAGATATTTTGACTCAAAGTTGCAAAAACTATAAGTCTTCAAGTACAATTAAACGCTTGTTCAAAGTAAAATATTAAATTTAATGTACTGTTCAATTTTATAGTATTTTTTTTTTTTTACAGTTAATAAAATTGTAGGAAATTAAATGTGAAAAAATTTGATTTTCCGTTCGAAATTTTACGTTATATATGGTTATATGTCACATATGGTTTGCATAAAATACTATATATTCATATGTATGCAATATATTTTATACATATTAGGCTTACTTTATATACTACCAAGTTCGCATCACGTCCTGTAACATGTTAGTCTAACAAATGTTAAACAATTTTTAATAACGTCTTACCAGTCTTGAATGCTTTCGGTGAGGGTAAAAACTTTCATACATTATGAAGTATAATCGATAACTACTGCACTTGGAATGTTTTATGTCATATTATATGTCTTGTGTTATATTTCGTTTCCGAACCAAAGTACTCTAATATATAAACACTGTAGTTGTACTGAGTAATATTCTTTAAACGCGAATGTTTTAGACATATTCTCTCGAAATAATAGTATGTTTTGATAGTTGTGTCGGTTTTGTTCTAAAATGTACACATTTGCAAATGCATTTATACACGTGGATAAAATATTAGTTCTCTGCTCCGAAAACCTAGCGCTACAATAATAGTGTTACCGACAGCAACAATTTAACATACAGATCGTTTCAAATAAATGGTATATTTTTTTCTATTTTTCACTGGTCCAGTGTGACGCAGTGCGATACTGAGTGCGAAGCATTTTTGATATGCTCTGGAACAAATGGCAAATGATATGCTGTCGTGTAAAAACGTGCGGGATAATACCTAGACATAGGTGTAAGTAGGGAGGAGATTGGGGGGCTAAGCCCCCCAATATGAATTTTAGTTGCCCCATGTCATAATTTTTAGTTTTGCTAACGGTAGATACATTTTTAATTTTAATTTAAGATATCGTTTTATTTTTTTTATTAATATCTTGGAAAAATATTTATTATTTTTTGGTTATACGTATCATTGTAATACGATGATTGTATGTAAGTTTTTACTACATAAATATTACTTAGAAATTATTAATAAATTAAACACAAAAATAGTCGTAAAAGACTTACGATAAATAATAACTTGTGATAACGATTAACGTGTAACGAAATATTAATGAAATTGACTTAAAATCAGAAACTTTGGTTGTAAAAAATTGTTATGACAATAAATTAGAGAACATCAACAATCAGAAATATTAAAAGCAGCTAAAGTGTATCGTTGAAAAATCTGTTTTCCCAAATTTATACAAAATGCTACATTTAGCGCTTGCAATTCCAACAAATTCCGCATCTTGTGAAATATCATTCTCAGCAATGCGTCGAATAAACACCTATATATGGTCAAATATATTACCATATCGATTTTCAAAGTTAGCAATCATAGTAATTGAAAAATATTTGTCGAAAATTCTAAACGAAGAAGACATTTAAATAAATTTGTCAATACTGAGCGGAGGCTTAAGCTGAAATAGTCATAAAATTCCTTTAAGTTTTTAATTTTTAAAAAAATTTAACTTGTAGGTATCTAAAATAATACTTAATAAATATGTTAATTTAATGTTTACCTTAATATCACTTTTTTTATTATCTGTCTTATAAATTGTATATTAGTAAAATAATATTATAATTTAATAATGAATATAATTTGTGGGACGAGTTTGGGGAGTATAGGGGGGCAGAGTCCCCCATATTTTTTACTTATTTTAAACATGTTAGGGCTGAAGCTCCCTTAACTTTAGTATCTAGTTACGCCTATGTGCTTAGTTCATACATGTACGTTACGTAATAACTAATGATTATCCGGAAATTACACTTGTATTGCTGTATACAAGGATGTCAATTAACTGTTTAATTGATTTGTGCGACGGAATGGTGGCAAAGGTGGTGCATAGCAGTTTTTATTAAGAATATGAAAACATAAGAAGTAATACTATGTTCACACATTTCTATTTTTTTCTTTTTTCAAATCGACCAAAACATAACATCCACTAAACTTTAATACGAGTATATTCCACATTAGTAAAACGACATGCTTTTGAAACACGAATAAGACAAGAATATTTTTGCGCACATACGATTATCGTGGTACAGCCACTTCATATTGATCTCCATGTTTAAATGAGATCAAGATCAATAGTTTAAACGCTTCACTATATGATAATTTAGCATACTATAGTTCAATAAAACTTTTTTAGCTCATACTATTTCATGGAAAACCGTGATCACTTACTAGACGATAGACATTCAACATATTTTTCCGGCACTTTTTGTGGATAAATCAACCATATGATTTACTTTTGGCTTACTCCGTGAACAATTCAATGGAATGTGTTAGGCTACAAGTAAAATAAAGGTAGAATTAAAAAAGGAATAGATTATATCATGATAGTTTGTCTATAGTTAAGCACGTTAGTTGCATCTTGGTCAACGAAAATCAAAAATAAATATTTATTCGACTTCGTACTGGTAATTTCCACGTCTCAAAGATGGTTAAAATAACGCATATAACCGTTTAAGTAATTCTGTAAGCATATGGTTTCCATCTCGGATATATTTTTCTCTTAACCACCGGAAAACCGATGTATTGCCGTTAGTTGTGTGCATTTTTCTAACGCGTTCGATGGGCCAATCAAAACGATCGACGACCTAATGTTCAAATCATCTTCGCGATCCAACGCGATTTATTTTCTCACACATATTACGCGAATTTATGGTACTTGATGTTTATTGAATATTTTCGTATGATTCAAAAAGGTTACTACGTGGCAATCACGTCTGGCAGGGTGTCGAGGGACTACGCCCACGTCAAAAACTTTATCTCGTCTGTTTGTACGTATTTCAATATTATTTTTACTTTTTTCTTTTTTTTTTTTTTACGTTTTATTTTTACCGCACGTCTGTAGAGTTTAAAGTATATTCATACCGAAAAGTGTCAACAGATTCAGGAAAAAATAAATAAATAAAAAAATCACCAGCAGTAGAAATTTGAATCATAATACGATGTCCGAGTCGTATCGATACTTGAGATCCTACGTTTTTTGTCATTAAAGGCACTGAAACGATACGTGATGCTTAAATTTCGGTTTCCCATCGGCGCAAGTGGGTATTATGATGTGTAAATATATTATGTTAGGTACGAGTAAGGAAGAGAAAAAATACCACACGTGACTATCCGAGTACAAATTTTTTTTTCCTTTAATCTATTTATCATATTTTCACTATTTGGCTGCTAAATTAAAAAAAATATTAATAAGTTAAAACAAATAAAAAAATTCTTCCTCTACACATTATATCTTATATGAGTCATGCATTCCGTTTGCTTTGCCATTAATGTACAAACGTGTAGACACCTGCACCGTTGTAATACGGTTACGCCGCTCTACACAATACCGTGTGCGCAGCACGTTGTAATCTAATTTGCTTATTAACCATTTAGCTTTGCGCACGTAAAAGTCACACCTAGAAATGGCCGGTACAATCAGTTGACTCTGGAGCCTTACAATAGTTTAATATACATGTATATGTATATAATCCAGGGAGAAAGGATTCAGCTGAAATCCACGGTGATGTAGAGCCCTCTCATTGTTATGCATTGTGACGTACGTGCATAATTTGTGCGTGCACGTACCTCACCTTTCGTATACATTTATGTTTTGTTGAAATTAGTTTTTGAAGCGTGTGCATAATAATATATATATATTACATATTGGTGTGCGAGATACATAAACCGTATGTAATTTTAAAATAAAATTCTTAAACCATACAGAAAATCCCACACTGTTCGGTGTTATAACCCAACATGCCTACCCGCGTACCCAAAGAAATCCAAATAAGATAAATTGCTGTAAATCTGGGAACCAACGAAGTTCAACGTTTGTACTTTTTCCAGTTTCAACCGTTTTCAAAACGTTTTTCTGTAAATCGTTAAAAATAATTATTATTTATTTAAAAAATTAAAATCAGAATACCCTAGGGGTTATAAGTAATTGAGTAAATTTACATTTTTGAATTATGTGCATTAATTAGTTAATTTTTTAAACGCTTAATCTTATTACTCAACGAGAAAAAATAATTTTTTTGATATAAATTGTTAGTTTTGTCATTAAATAATTTTAAATCAATTATAATATATTTTAACGTACTTATAAACAGTAGGGAAAAGTTTTTTTTGCTTGATGCAATGGACCCGAAGAAATGGAGTCCAATAATCTATAGTCGTTATAATCAAATTAGACAACATTAGAAACATATGAGGTATAACATTTTTCGTGACCAATAAAACCATGTCATTACCCTCATTATATCACTATTTTACTATAATCGGAGTCATAAAAACAATAAAAGACATTAAATTTCAATTACAATGAGTAATGGTGTACTCTTATTGCTACTGAAATTATATTTATAAAATTTTTGACTGAGTGTATTCTGTATAATGTACGAGGTGAAAAACATGCATAAATATATCCTACGACGTCTGAATTATTAAGTTGGCTGTAATCATGTTACACATAACATATTATTATGTGACCATTTTAAATAAATATTTTTTCAGTATTCTCAGTAGATTTTTTTTTCAAAACAGTAAGACAAATTTACGGATTGAATCTTTGAATAAAATCAAAGCTGCCCCAGCAAGTGTCGTATATTAACCTTGCGTATACGTTTTCAAACGTATACGAATACAATTAATATTGAACCATTAAGTATTATCTGCGTTAAGAAACCTACACAGAATTACAGAATAAATTATTATCAATATCAATAAAGTCTGTCGTTAGTAAATCGTGGAATAATAGTTTGAATTTCGATGGTCTTGCGATGAAATAATATTAATAAACGTAGGAAAATTGAAATATTAATTATTTGATATTATTTACGAATAGTAATAACACAATATATATTACATCAATTATTAGTAATTACCGTCAACGAAATAGTATCCTGTAGGTTCTGTCACTACGAGAACCATTCACAACAGCGAAACTACATTAATATATAATTTGAATGGCGTTTATGTGTTTCAGCCGACTAATGGATCTAGTGACAACCAGCGGTCATCGTATACGTGATCTGTTGCCCGTGTTCGACTCCACTGGATTCACCAAGATTCCACCGCCGTCCAGTAAAGTGGTCAAACCACACCAATGAACCATGGGATCATCCGGTGGCATAGCTGTCGTCGTGCATGGTGCCCAAAAATGCGTACATTTTCATAATATCAAAATAATATAATTTTAAACGGTTCATTGTACTCATTACATTAAATATTAGTTTAAATTTTAACATGGAAAAAAAACACCTATTTTTAAACTGTATCGCATACTTAATTGTAACTCTATACAATACTAATATAACACCAACCGTTTGAAAAGTAGATTAAAATGAAGTAACGGCTTAAGTTAAACGCTCTCGTTAATATTATTATAATTATTATTATTATTGTTATATTTCTTTTTACTATTTAATCTAATAAAAATTGCATTCGAACCATTGATGGCGTCTCGACTAGTCTCATTATTAGAATATGTTTTGATCCAGGTGCAACATTTTTGGGAGGAAATAAAATTAATAATAAATACTTTGATGATCTATTATGAGAGATTTCGAACGTACACTAATAATTTCAGTCTACAATGCAAAATTAGGTATGTGAATAGAAATCACTCGAAGCACGTTCAATGTATGTCGAAGATCAATGTGATACTCGTATACCATGCAATTTTAAGTAGTGATTCGTTTTGCTATCTTTAGACACTTTATTTATATAGTGTTTGAAGGATATTGATAGCAGGGTCAAGAATATTCTCTTTGATGAATGGTATTGTTCTATGAATGCAGCAGCCATACGACAAATGAATTGGTCAATTGTATTAATCGTACCTAGATTGTATATATTTTTTATTGTACTTACACATACTCGTATTGGTGTTTATAGGTTTTGATTAAAACGAATAATGTATTAATTGAGTTTATTTTTTTGAATTTGTGGACACGATTTCGATCATAAGAATTACTCTGATCAACACTATCGTAAAAGATTTCCGATAGGCAAAGAATAAATAGTTATTACTTTGACAAGAGTTATTTTACGCATTTATAATATAGTTCTATTATTTAATTAAAAGAAATCAATAGAAATTTATGAAATAATGGCAACATTTATGCCATTCAGGTTTTCAACAAAATTGACATTTTATTTTCATTGTAATTGAAAATATAGTAATCATAAGGACTTTACATTTTTATTGAATGCTTATATCATTTGCTTTAGATGCTATAATTTTCAAAAAATTTTCTATAGAAAATTTATATTTTCATATTTTCTTAGATCGCTTTTCTGCAAATTTCGATAAAATAATATTGGAATCACAATAAATTTTTAAAATGTAGTACACAGTTTTTCGTTTATATATTTTACTGATTAATGAAAAATTAACTTAGTTTCAAAGAAAAAATAAAAATACGAGCAGTACAATATTACTCTTTCACGTGAATCCGCAACATTTTCGGAGTAAAAAAATGAAAAATTGATAATTTTTAAGAAAAAATAGTGGTAAATCACATAAATTATTTATAGGCGATAGAAAATAAAATGTTGATAATTAAGAATATTTTAACGAATTTACATTTAATGATATTAGTGACTTGAAAATGTACTGAGTATTCATAAACCATTTTAAAGACATTCCATAGTTTTAAAATATTATAAGAAATCTCTTCTTTTTATATGCACATAAAACGTTCGATTACTTCCGAATCGCGAAATAAGAACATTTGAAGAACAATCTATTTTAAGAAATTGGTTCTACTGCTACTTGTATATTATAACCATGTTTAGAAATAATAACTGATCCACAACTTTCACTAAGAGTTATTATTATGTGATCTTTTGATTTCACTTTTCAAAAGCTAATACAGCAAAATTGTTCTTCTATTCCTGTATTTTACCTGACCATACAGTATTACTTTGCCTAGGATTATAGCCTTTTTTTAATATAAATTTATTTAACATTTGGTATATGTACCAAGATAATTTTCATGTATTTTAATATTGTACAAGTCAATTTTTATTTCACTCTGAATTATTATTCAAATGTTAAGTTTTTATACAATTTACACGAAAATTTTTGTATAAACGAACACAGTCATATGATAAATATACTTTTTTCCATACTTATTCTTCCTGTAAATGATCAATCTAGCGTTTTGGAAAGATAGAAAAAATATTTACATTTTTTTTTCATTTTCTATCCGAAGATCACGCGAAAACTATTTTCAGCCCTGAGAATGTTCGTTACATGTTGAGCCGTGTTATCGTTCTATCATGCCACAAAGACTAGTAGAGAATTATTTCCATTCAATCACATACGTGGAAAACGTTTATCTCTCTTACGAATTTCCATATATCGCGCGCACCTACCGTCGAAACAGTGCATCATCATTATTTCTTCAAACAATGTATACTATTCTACGCAGTGATTATTTCGGAAAGTCGGTTTTAAGCACATATCCTGTGGAAACGACTCGTCTCAAGCTTATCTGCAGTAGACGCAGTATGTGTACAACCAAAAAACAACTGCTCTGGATACAAACGATGTATATCGTATTCGAAAAGGCGTTACAAAAATGCTGCAGGCTTACAATGTCATGCTACCGGCGCCGATGAACGATCTCTCGCCGCGACAACTGTTATTGATTTATTGTCTTTCGATGGCGACCGTAAAATACCGTTATACGAACACGGCTCGTATGTGATAGCCGAGATATTAGCGCTAACTTGTGTTTTAAAACGTCAAACGTAATGTGCAATGATATGTTTGTTTTGCATTCACCAACAATTTTCACCACGTGTTTATATGAATCTGTATTTATCTGCCTTAAATACATATTTTGTGTAAAAATAGGACTACTCCATTAAAACATTCAGAAAAGTGAGTATTAAGGTAATTTATTTATTTTTAAACCTACCTTTTTTCTAAGTCTTGCCTAGTTATATTTGTGTGTCTCCTGTAAAAAAAAGTTTTATGGACATGTCCCCTTTCTGCAATTAGTTATTCGTATATTATCGAGTTTCGTCTCAAAATGTTGACACCGTTCGATCACTAAGTGTTTTCAATCGCTTCGCGATGGGCTCCGTGCACCCGACCTGGTAGTCTTAAAAACACATATCTAGGATTCGAAAAAAACTCTTTTTCGTAATCGTCAGTTATCTAACCCAGACGTGATACACTTATCGTGTAACCGTGTGATCGATAACTGATTTTAAAACGTTGTTACACTTTAAATATGATTCGGCACCGTGTGTAATGTATAGACGCTTATAATATTAACGTTGATCATATTATATTACGCAACACGGTCGTAATTTTTCTTCAATACTGATAATCGTTTTTTTTTTTTTTTTTGTTCACGTCGTAAAATATGTCGGCTGAATGTGATCGATAAGCGATGTGGTAGCGTGACTTCGCTGTGGGTTGCGGCAGCTTTTATGTTCCTATCGAATATCACACCACCAGACATTAGACGAGAATACGCTATAAAATATAAAGAATACGCTATAAATCTGATCGTTAAAAAAAAATTAAATTAAAATAAATAATAGGCTATTTATCCAATCATCGTCTGTAATATCACTGCTATAAGGAAGATCAAATAAAAAGTAATTTTTTGTTGATAAATGCATAGGTATTCGAGCATGTCAACTTTGACGGAATATACAAGTACTTGCTTTAATATTGAAATATAACCGTAAACTAAACAAATTGATTTCTGAGCCATACTTGATATACCAGTGAATAATAGTGACGTTTCTAACAGGTAGATTTAGAAGGCCTGATAGTAAACACTAATTTAGAACCCAAAATATCAAATATGAATAAATCGGTTAAAGTACCCGTAACAAGTTTATTGATCGTATATTGTGCCCTGAACAATTAATAATCTTAAAATTAATTTAATTGGTGATAATTAAGCTCATATAAGAAAAACATGAATTTGAGAATGTTTAAATGCAATTTATGTTACTATAAACGAGTTTGAAAGCTTACGTTCATGTAATCATTTTAGTAACTTTTATGCGACATTTAAGAAGAATTCTTCAAATAATATTTATTTATCAAATGGAAAAAAAAAAGCCTAAAATATTTACAGTACATTAAATAATTATGCTTCTAATTTTATGACTGGTTTCAAACATAATAATAATAAAACGATTTAAAAACTCTGAGTAGTACCTTTTACAGTGTTAGATAATATACTAAGCGAAATTAAATAATTAACGAAAGTTCTGATTTTATAACCAAAACATCACTATTTAACTGGGATTTAAACAATTTTCAAACTATAATTTTGGTTTAAAATGTTCTAATCATTACGATAATAGTAAATAATTCTGAAATAAAATAAAGTCGATAAGCTTGAAAATATGTACAGTAGCTGTAATGAATCCATAGATTATTACAATTGTTTTACATTTAAATATTTGATGTGGAAAAGTTATTTGAGAATAATTAAACAAATTATTTAACGCATGTTGATTTTACTAATAAGATCCACATCAACCAAAAAAAAAAATGTATTGACAATAAGAAAAATAAAGGCATATCGGCAGATATTTATTGCTACTACGCATGTACTTTAATTTAGGATTGACATCAGTTGATAGAAATATTTTGGAGTTATTGCTATATCAGGTGAAAATTTTTAACAAGTCAAAATAAAAAAATTGATAGATCGTTTATTAAATTAATATGTTGATATATTATTATTATCAGCATTTATTATGAATGACTATAGAGTAAATGATAAAATATGATAAAAATAAATATGATAAAAAAATCTCATAAAGAACAAGTAACTAAAAATTCACTTCAATAATTATTTTTATAACTGAACCTATTATGAATTTTATATTGAACATACTCTCTGATAAAATAATATAGAAGATATTTAGTTCACTTATCCTACCTGGGACCAGAGTTGGGCAAAAACAAATTAAAATAAAGAATAAAAAATAAGAGCATGAATAACTAATTTATTAATGAATAAAAAATAATTTTTTATTCTGAACAATTGTGGTGTACTGAATAATGAATAAAATTATTTTGAATAGTTTTATTCGTGAATAAAAAAACTATTCAGAATAAATTTATTCATTAAAATTATGAATGATATTAATTAAATAATGATATTAAATATAAAATTATTTATTTTTGTCAATTATTATATGTATTAATATGTATTACCTTTATATATATTATTTAAGTCTAAATAATAAGTCTATTATTATTATAGATCGTTATTTGAGATTTCAATTTATTATTTATATGATTATAGGGAATAACAAATAACGAATAATAAATAACAAATAATTAAATAATGAATAAAATATAGAAAATAAAAATCTCCGAATAATGATTAACGAATAATAATACAAATTAAAATAATGAATAAAAATAAAAATCAATAGTAAAATTAAGAATAAATCAATGAAAAATAATTTT